CAAGCAGAATAAAATGCAATCACATCACGGATTCTAAACTTCACTCAAATGGAGAGCAAAGACTCCCAGGGCAATTAAGTAAAGAGTGGGTCACATCAAACTGGTAGGCTTCATGACATTTCCAAAGCTTGTCAGGCTGTTCACTCTTCCTGCAGGCCTCACTTCCATACTTTTAACAGCAGCCTGCCACAAAAGCAAACCAGGCGATGTTCTTGGCATGAAGTTTCCAGGAAGGTCATCACCTGCTTAATTTCAGTGTATCAGATTGCAGCAGCACAGAAATAGAGCTATAAAAAAAACTGGGGAATGTGCAATCTAGAAAGATATGCAGATTTGGACTACACTGAGTCTTCAGTCAGAGGAAAAACTGACTGGAGATGTAAGCTGTCAAGAACGCCTCCCTTTGCACCATTGATTCCATCACCTCCTCCTACCTCAAAGTTATGCTGTTCAACTGAATACTGTTTTTACCTCTACAGCACTAAAATTTGGGGTTGCCCAAAAAGACTGACTTAAAGTAGCACAGATGAGACAGAGTCCTTCACACAATTTATCATTAACTTATGGCTTTGACACAAGATTATGTTGATGGCTTCTGGTTGAGATGACTTTTAAAAATTAAGACAGCCTTATCAACCTCACAGGGCTGTTGTATACATTCGCCATCCCAATAGCTTAAAGTTCTTTGGCTTATAATAAACAAGTTTATGAAGCAATTTAAATAAAAATAGACACATATTCAAAAATAATACAACGCCCAAAGTTAAAACACTGAAGAACTATGGGTGCAAGAATATAAAACAGTGATATATGCCATTTAAATAATAATAATTACGATAAACGTCAATGAATTTCTGCCTGCAAGGCTGTTTTTAAAGGAGAAGAGTTGGAGCTGCGGAGGATGTTTACCTTTCCCATTACCGTACATGCAAACAAACCTCACTTCAGACCACATATTACTGATATATGTGTGTTGCTGTTGTTTTAAATAAAAATAGCTTTAACTTAAACTGTTTAAATTAAATACTGGGAGGCGCCTTGGGTCTTGCACTGGGAGAAAAGCGGGATGTAAATAAAGCAATTAATGAATACATTGTAAGCCGCTTACGAGATTTGTAACAGTTGTTGTTTAGTCGTTTAGTCGTGTCTGACTCTTCGTGACCCCATGGACCAGAGCACGCCAGGCACTCCTGTCTTCCAGTAACAGTAGGCGGTACGAAATATGGGCTGCAACCAACTAAGCCTTATTCAAGAGTAGACACACTGAAATTAATAGACAGGGCGAACTTGCGCCCCTGTGTTTTCCACGGGTCTCCTCTGAGTTACACACACATATCTGAAGGAAAGAAAAGAAAAACCCTCCCGGGGCTCACCCTGACATGCGGCCCTTCGGCCTCCCTGGCCGCCAGGGCTTCGAGCAGGTCCCTGCGGAGCTCCACCAGGAAGCGGAGGCCGCCCTCCTGCCTGCCGAGGTGCTGGAAGAGGCCCCGGTAGCGCGGCGTGAGGTAGTGGCGGAGCCGGTCCTCGGCCTGCAGGAGGGCACCGGGTTCGTGCTCCCCTTCTCCCCGGCTGCCTCCTGTTGCTGCTGCTGTTGCTGCTGCAGCAGCCGGGCCACCTTCCCGCTCACTTCGGCCACCCGGCCGTGCTCGACGCCGAAGTCGCGGGCCAGGCGGCTCAGCAGCTCGGCCCTCGGCCTGCCGCTCTCCAGGGCCCGGTAGTAGCGCATGAACTCCGCGCCGCGCTGCTCCAGGGCGGCCCCGGCTGGCGCCGCCACTTTCTCCCGGGTCTCGTAAGGCGGCAGCGGCGGGACGGCGCGGCTCAGAGCTTCCTCCATGGCCGTCGGGCCTGGGAAGGCTGCGGTTGCCATGGCGACGGCGCTAGGCCGCGGCCTGCCGGAAGAGCGGAGAACGAGGTGGCGGAACAGCTGGTGCTGCGCCGATGCCACGCACGGCCCCGCGCGGCGCATTATAAAGCCCAGCGAACCTTTTCCCTCGTTTGTCGGAATCCCAAATTCGGTATACACTCGGACAAGTCAGTGGGGCGGGAGGCCTTCCTTTTAGCACTCTCAGGGGGGCGGAAGGAAAACAAAGAAGAGGATTGGACCACTGCGGTCGCCATGTCTTGTCGCGGCCAATAGCAACAGACTAGGGGCGGAGGAAGCATGTAAGCCGTCCTGAGTGTGGCGGAACTTACCTCAGCCAGGAGGTCCTGC